AGGTGAGTACAGGTAGTAAAGATACATGTTTGATACTAAATTGATGAAGGAACATTATATCCAGTATGTATGTATGCACTATTCGAAAAAAATCAACCCACTTGCTCGTAAGTTCTTCTCATGGCTAAAAATTCATTTAACTCACTTGGCGTATAAATAACTTATTTTATAAATATTTTTAATCCCTCTTAAGACGCCTATGGTTTAAAAGTGGCCATTTTTGGAATTGTATAATTTAAAATGTATGCATACTACAATGACTTTTTTTTTCCAGCGTATTTTATGTGACATGTACATTTTTTGTAAATCAGTGCTTCATCTTAATCATCTTGAATGTCTGAAATACATCCTTCCTCAGGAAAGAAGGGGCTTCGTGAAGAAAATGTCTCCTCTCACCAAAAAAAAGCGAATAGGCAACTTTCAAATTTTTAAATCAATCTGTTAGTCATTCTGATAACATCAGTATACTTTTTTTTCCAAAAAATAAAAACGCTTATTTTTGAAAATAGAATGATTTGAAAATCAATTTTTTTAACTGCTGTCAAAACGTGGGATAGGAGAGGGACGTCACTTTCCCAAACATGCGATGATGCCGATTTCTCATTAGTAAACCATTCCAAACATAGATGACATAGAACTAGTCACAACCTATGACCTCTTTTGTCCTTTACTACTTCATAAAAAAAAGAAAGGAAAGGTATAGTCGGTGAACCCTTGCTACCTAGTAAAATGATCCCAAAATATTTTGGCATTTCTACATTTCGTATGTGGCAACAAGCGAATGATTATATCGACCATATCGGCTTTAGTCAATTAAGAGGCAAGTGAAAATGGACTATTGTGCGCAGCGTTGTTTTTTTTTGGTCACCACTTTTTGGTAACAAAGCCCTTCCCAAACCCAAATCCTGGATACGCCAATGCTACAATGATACTATGATGTTCTAAAATTCACGAAGTAACAGAAAAAACTAGACTGTATAAGGTTTGAGCAATTTCAAATTTGACGCAACTTTAAATGACTGTAACTCAAAAAGGCGAATTTTTAGAACTTTGTGCCTATGGACACTTTTAATCTATAGGTCAAGAACTATCAATATGCAAAATTTCCTGAGATTCCACTGAGGGCCAGTTCTCATAAGGTTTCTGCGGGTTCCTCAATTACATTTTTCGAAATTGTTATTCAATTTTTCTTGATTCAATTTTACGGAAACAACAAAACTATTATAGTTTTCAATTACAGAAGACATTACTCTTATTTGTTGTTGCATTAATATCTGAGTCTCGAGATTTTTATTTTTCAAAGAATTGATTGCGTCATTATAATAAACTGCATCTGGTGTACCGAAAAACCATTTAAGTGCAGTTGAAACTCCGTTTATTAAACCTCTGCGTTTACGTTTGGTTTCAAAGGTATGAGCGACTTAATGAATAATAGTATCAAGTTTCTTTTCTAATGTTTTAATTTTAGCATCAAACAAGGCGAGTGAATCCGTGTAATACAGTGCAATGGAAACTGTGCACGTATGTTTTATTATTCCTAAGATTGGAATCATGACATAGGTTTTTTGATTTTGCATATATTTTTTCCACAACTCGGAATTTATGAATGGAAAAGGAAATATTTGAAAACGAAAGGAGAGTAAAATAATAATCGTATTATTCTACGGTGTCTAGGGATTGGTAAAAGATGCCTGTTTGGTTATTAATTGGTATTATTTGATAAGCCTGCGCCTCCGTGTGCCATAGGTGGGCGCGAAACATCGTGAGAAGAGCACGTAGCGTGTAATATATCAGCATCATTTTTGTCTTAAATAAATGGTTTTAATTAACGAGACGTTAGAACCAGTGTCTAACAATAGTTTGAAATTGAATAGATTTCCATTTATATCGAAATAAGTGAGGTAAATGTATCAGATATGTTTATTAGAGCTAATAGTATATGAGAATGCGTTCGTTTCTGTAGATATTTGAATTTGAGATTGAGATTGATTTTCAGATTGAGATGTGCCAGAATTTCGTTTATTCAGTCCAGCAATGTGACACTCACTGTGGACCGGTAAGCGTTTAAAATAGTATATTGTTGTATTAGGAGTAGAAGCTTTACTTTTTTGTGCTGAAGCGGTAGGTTTGCGATACTGCAATACTGCTGAAGCACAAAAACGTGCTTCTACTCCGTATGCAACACGCTATTTTTTTCTCCAAACGAATAAGGTAAGCGCGGGGGCAAGTAAATGGTTAAGCGGCATTGAAAGTACGAGCGGCATTAAAAGTACTTCTACTGCCGCTCCAGCGGCACTAAAAGTATTTTTACTGCCGCTGGGGTTGCCAAGCAGCATAGAAATTAAATTTCTACCACCTCGACAGGTGTTAACCCGCTAATTTTGCCTAGCAGCATAGAAATCAAATTTCTGACATCTTGACAGGGGTTAACAAAGTGACGTTTTTCTGACGTTTGGAGAAAAACTAATTTTGCTGATTATTTAGATTGGACATTGAATTTCTTCTTTTATTATTATATTCCCTTTTGCGACATTCAGTAATAATATGACCTTTTTTCTTACAATAGTTACAGAATTTACTGTTATAATTTGAATTAGTAGAAGGATCTGAACAAGAATTTGTTTTGTATTTGGCCCTGTGCTGAGTTGAAATGAACAGTGTTTAGACTTTTAGAATAAAACTCTTTGAATGAATGACCTTCCTTTTTACAGTAACTGCAATATTTTTCAAAAGAATTGCTGACATATTTGGGCCTTCTGGCAAGCAAATGTTTTTCTTCTATGTTCGCTTCTGTGAGTGCGTCATTATTATTTTTAGGTTTAGCTCTTCGTAGACAAGTAGAAATATCGTCGTTTGAGTGGAGGATGAACCGTTGCAAAGCGATTTCCCTTATCATAGCGATTCTACCTCCTGATTCATTGTGATTTTGGAAAGAAGAGGCTTTTAGACCCAGTGTTTGTAAGGTTTCTATACCGATTATAATAACTTTGCACTGATTTCATTTTACTTTGTTTTAATGTATTTAATTTTTCCAAGATTTGAGAAAGATCTCGTCGATTACCAAATAGTTCAATTAAACATTCTCGAATTTCATCCTAATGATAGATTTTTTTGAATCTAAATAGCTTGAGCGCGTGCGAATCCTTTGAGTTTAGATTCTATGTAAGATATGATTAGATTTTTTTGAGGGCCACGTCAAAGACTCCATGCTTGACCACAGTCTCGTAAAAAATCGAAGAGTTTAGTGCGATCGCCATCAAAATTTTCTGAAATAATTGCGCGAATATCTTACATAGCATGAAAAGCAGCGTTATTGTCATCATTATCTGGATGTAAGAATTCTTGAGGGGATTCGGGACGTGAGCTAGTTTGACTTCGGGTATCAGATACAAGAGGCATAATAATAAGTTCAAAATAAAATCTAGAAATTGCTTCTGAAAACTTATTTACTTATGATGCTGGCAGATGTAATCTGGAACGATTGATACCACTCTGTATAGCTTTTCGTTTCACCCTAATCAGATCCTCGTCGCCAAAATTTGTTAAGTTCTTTTATTTAGGGAGAAGAAACAAGTTTATTGGCATCAATTTATTCCATTGTAATGTTTATTGAACAATTACACATCAAAACGTAACCTAATAGTACTAAAACCCGATTACCAATACTTAACTCCCAATTGACAATCTTGTTTGGAAGTTGATTCAAGAATGATCTCTGAGGAAAAAGCTGTAAAATAATATATAATATGGAAACTTGATAACTATGCTGAGTAAGCGGAATCTTGAATAAGCTTGGTAGCTTCGTTGCAGGTCAGTGGCGCGAAAGTAGCAGGAAAGCAGTGGCGTAACATTACAATTTTTTAGAGGCAGTTTATTATCTAACCTTCTAATTATTATTTCGAAGAGTCTGAGTCTGAAACAATTTTTTTTTGAAATATTAACCTGGAAACCATAGATTCAGTGCACACTAGATCTGAGAATAAAGCACAGTTTAAAGTAATGTGCCACTTGTCCCCCTTATCATTCAAGACTCTGCGCGATATCCAGAACGAATGAACCAATTTCATTTTTTCTAACACCATTATTTAGAACATTAAAAACCCTTTCAAAAGACGTGACACTTGATCATTTAAATGTTGGAGTGATGGGGCGTGAGGCCGAGGGATTTCACCCCATGATCATGAGAATAAGGACAAAATATGTCCCCCTTGCAAAATCAGTTGACGCGTTTTTGCGTTTTTCATAAAAAAATTTGGTCTTAGATGAGATATTGAGGCTGGGAAGTTTTCTAAGTGTCACCCTTTATATCTAAGATATTTGGCTAAAGACACCTGCCATCATTTTTTTTTTTTTGGATACTGGAGGCATCCGAGCAGGCATCTTTCTTACAAAAACGCTCATGCCATTTATACTTCTAAATAACTAGTAGTTTACGAGCCAAACATTTTATAAAAATCTCTATTTTTTCAAATTCAATAAAAATAATTATAAATTCAGCCTAAAATTTTGAATTGAATAATTGTTTATTGCATTTTCCCTCTAACGGTAACAATGGAACAAATCTGCTGGAGCATTAAAAAAGCACATAAATAACAAAAAAAAAAAAAAACACTACCGCCGCGCCGTTTACCTATGTAACTGTGAAATGTATTTTAAATTCTACATTGTAAATTTGTTGATTTATTTTCAATTATTTTTTCTATCGAATTATTTGGTACAGAGCACAGCACTCCACCATCAATTTAAATCTCGTGGAATTTAAATGAAATCTAAATCAAATTTTAAACTATTAGCAAATAGATGAATGGATGTGCAATGAATTGTTTTGCCGATAAATTAAATTAAACGTCGATAATTGAAATTATATTTTATAAGCTTAGCATCAATATATTATTATTTTCAGATATATAGTGCTTTGTACATAATTGAAACAAGAATAAAAAAAATTAGTTATCCATATTTTTATACTATCTACTAAAAATGTATGTATTTTATTTCAGTCAAAAACTGCTTTGATGTACGATGCTATAAATCTTTTTATCACCGCTTTCCGAGATTTGGCTCAGAAAGAAGAAATAGAAATAGGGCCTCTGAGCTGTGAAGATTATTATGTCTTTGAGCATGGAGACAAAATATTCAATATTGTCAAAAAGGTAAATAGTATTCAAATTTTAATTATAATACACTACTTTAGGTTCTATGTGTCTGTACAATTCTAAGACTTCTTTTTGTTTATAGCCTCCCAAGAATAGTAGAAGTATACTACCTGGCTACCTAACTGGTCCAGTGTTTTTCGACAAAAACGGTCAAAGAAGTAACATCGATATTCAAATAGTTGAACTAATGAAGGCAGAATATGGTTTTAGAGTAACCGGAACATGGAACCCAAACAATCCCACGGCAATTACTTACAAGCTAACATCGGAGCAGCGTGAAAAGGAACTTGAAAAAGAAATTCAAAGAAAGAATTTCAAAGTTGTCTCCAGGTATTCTGGTAATTTTTATTTAATTTTCACTCGAATGCGTTTTAATGCACCAATAACTTTCACTGCTCTTCCCAACCTGCTTATGAAATTGAAATTTATGAATTTGGTTTTTTATTTCTTTTGAGTTGTCCTCTAGTTGCTTGTTTTCTGTGTTGTTATATTTGGGCGCTAGGCCTAAAAGACACCGAGAGAACAGGAATAAGAACAATAGTTCAAACAATGCAATGCAAATCATAGTTTTTTTTTGAAATAGAAAAGTAATACGTTTAAAACAATACATGTAAAATATAAAGGAACACTTCATCTAGACACATTCCAGAGGATCTTTATTCTTGAAACAAGGGAGCAGCGTTCCCAGGAGAACGAGTGTTTCGTCTTTCTCAATGATAATATGCAACTGATAATGTAAGTAACAAAGACGGAACACTCGTTCTCCTGGGAACGCTGCTCCCCTGTTTCAAGAATAAGGACACTGCAAGTTCAATTTTTGAGGTTGTTATTACCTACGCAAGAAGCAAAAAATTATGTATAATTAAATATCATTTACAGTGTCAAAATTAAGTAACGTGTAGACGTTAATTGAATTTATGATGAAGAATTTTTTTGCCTCGACTAGGATTCAAACCCAGGACCCTCGCATATCCAGTACAACACTCTACCAACTGAGCTACCAAGACCTCATTTCTACCTGGTCAGGCCTTTCATCTTATTTTAAGTTGTTAGTGGTGAAGACCAACGGCATCCCTCGGCGGTTACCGTTGGTAATGGGACTGAATTGGAAAGTATTAGGATAACATATCCGCAATAAATGGCTGGTGGAATTCATTATCGATTCAACCAACAAATACATTTTGTGTCGAGTCAATGCATGGGCCATCGTGTGTATGATTCCTTGGTATGAGCACACAATAGTTTCCCAATATGTCATAGCCATGATTCAAATTTGAGGTTATGATATGTCTGAAGTAAACAATCCTTCAACAGATGGTAAACGAAAAAAGTACAAATATTGCAATATAAATGTGATTTCTATAGTAGATTGTTTTAAGTGTGACAGGAAACTGATTTAATCAACACGATCACCTGCTATTATATGTATTTTGTCCTTTTTCAATTATGTTGATTGAAGAAAGATGAAAAACAAGCAGCTGGTGATCGGGTTAATCGGATCAGTGTTTTACCTCTGTCTTCTATCTAATACGACGACGGCGAAGTCACCGAGGACTAGCCGGTGTCGCCGATACATAGAATATTTATGTACCGTGCATGATTCTGGATAGTTATGCATCGTGAATTTTTATCATGTAACCTTGATGATTTGGCAACGTTGTAGCAAGGAATTGTGATTATTATTATGGGTATCCGCAGTAGACAGAATAAACCCGATGAAACTACTGAATCTATTTGAGTTGTTGTTCTAAGATTAGAGATTTGTGGGAAGTCATGCATTGCTCTTGCCAAAAGAACCTCTGCGGTCTTGATAGTCCTCCTGAAACTTAGTTGCCTCATACGGTATAGTGCACAAAGAACGTTGTGCTTTTGTTCATCATTTCTTGGTCTAAACGGTTTTTGAACTGGTTCTTTGTTGTTGACGTGACAGTGTTGTTACCAAGACTGTTCCAGTGATAAACCACCCTGTTTGTTAGAAAGTTTCTTCTCATTAGCTTCTTACATTTCTCCTTGGAAAGTTTAGATTGTGTCCTCTGATACTGGTGTTTTCGTTGAGGTAGTAGATCTCTCTTAAGTCGCGTGCATAGTGCCCATTCATTATTTTAAAAGTTTCAATGAGATCTCCCCTCATTCTTCTATCTTTTAGGGTGGTTAGGTCTATCTGGGTTAATCGTTCCTCATAGGGCAGTTCATGAAGGTCTGGGCAGGTTAGTTATTCTACGTTGTACTTTCTCAATTTGCTCTATGTCTTTAGCATAGTAAGGATTCCAAATAGTTTGTGCATATTCCATTCTTGGCCTGACATATGATTTATGTAGCTTTAGTGTTTTCCATAGCTTTGTCCATTCTTTGAGATTGTTTAGGTCTCTCTGAATAGCAGCATGTTGCGAAAGTGGATTTCCATAAATGTTTCCATCGTGGGCAAAAGATGCATTTCTTGTTTCCAGTCCTAAATAAAGATCCCTCAAATAGGCAATAAAGAGTAGAGGACCAAGAACTAATCCCTGTGGTACTCCACTACGCACTCGGTGCTTTTTTGAAAGTGTTGGACCCACACGCACCTGAAAAGTTCTTTCTGTGAGGAATCCTTCGATAAACCTAAGTAAATTGCCCCTAACTCCGACGTGCTCGACTTTATGGATTAGGAACTGTGTTGGTATTTTGTAGCATGTCAGCCAGGGGCCTTTTTAGCACCTGGATAAAGTTCTTGAGGAAGACAGGAGAGATTTCGTCGAGCCTTGGACTTGATGATAGTTTAAGTGATTTTACTGCAATTTCAACTTTTTCCGGAGTTGCTCATAGCATTCCCCTATCTCAAGAACGCGTCAATTTGCCACCTCTTTTCATGGCACTGGAAATCTCCGCATGTAAGATGTTGCGTTTCTAACCGTTGTGACAAAATTGAGATGTTATGTATTGATATTTTGGTAGCGTAAATAATTCTGTCACATCTTAAAATTTCGTGGTAAATTATGCTGGAAAGTAAATTTGATCTGAAGCAGTGAATAGCAGTTTCCTGAACCAGAGGCAATCTGAACGAAGTCTTCTTTCTTCTCTTCTTGGAGTGGTTATTGAAAGGTATTAATAGAGACTCAAAATTAGTACCACTTACCACTTTTCTGCTGGAGCTGGAAACACGTTCTTTAACCGCAAAAAACCGGCACGTAAGATCTTTTTACGTACGCGACCACCAGTGTTTTAAAGGGAATTTTAGAACCAGAAAAGAAAAGACTAATTTTGAAAGATTAAAATTAATTTATTTAAAAGTGGAAAGAAAAGTTAATTATTTAAAGATAAAAAAAAGGTAAGGTAAAATACAAAAAAAAAACTAAAATACCTTATTTAATTAAAAAAAAAAATAACTATCACCTCTTTGGAGAGCTTTCCGGGTGGCAGATGAACTAGCGGATGAGGAACGGATCGAGAACTCGTTGAGACTTTGCACTTTGCGACTTAATTTTCCGGTGATTACTCGTGGTAAAATCTAGTGGCGAATTGGCGATAACTGAAGTGATGTGGCCTCTACATCTGCTTAAATAAGCGAAAGGAACCACCTTCTGGGTACCACTTTAGAACCCCATTGGCTCTTCTCAGTACCGGGCTTGCGAGATGATTCAAGGATCTCCACCCTCTTAGCTTTCAGCGATTCGCTTAAAGTACCCTTTGGTTTCTTGCCATGTTTCCATTGGTTCTCAAGTTTATTCAACCTTCTCCATCCAAAATGCTCAAACCTGTGATCCAGTTTGATGGCTCTCCAACAGAGTTCGCTAGTTACATGTTGTCAAATTATTAATAAACTAAAATCTCTACTAATATAATAATAAAATAATTGAGTAATCACTCCTATCTTAATCTACCTATATCTTAATTATAACTAAGCATTTGATTATAGTAATAACCCTTGATAATTATATTATTATTATACAATTGGTTATTGCATCTTGAAAATCCAGCTCATATAATTATTGTTTCGCTACACACACATATGCTTCGAATATAATATATCATTCTTTGCAATTCTATCGGTTACCTGACATCTGGGTTCATTATTAAACGTGGGTCAGAGATTATTCTTGACTTCGAATAAATTATTATAACCACATGGGATCTGATTCAGTCGAGAGATTAGTTTAAAGTCAAGTGTTTATCTCGAAAAACCTAAATTTTGCCTATATATTTGTCAATTTTGGGTTACAGCAATAATAATCTTGAAGCTATAAAATTCGATACTTTTATGGCTCAAGTGCTTTTTAACCTCGAACAGATTAGGCCTTTCGAACTCCATGTGTTTGTAAATTTCATTATAGGGTCACATTTTAGCTCTCTATAAAAATAAAACTTTTCCCACGAATAATGAATTTGAACCGAGAATATAAATTTGTTATTGATTTTGTTACACCGTGTATACAAGACAAGGAGTGGAATATATGTATGAATAAACAAAATGGCATGTCAGTGTACAATTTTGAGGAATTTAACTCTCTACTTATGCCGACCTCCAGAGACTAACACTGACAGATTTATAGCACAGTTGAATAACCTCACTTAACTCTAAAAAAATTCAGGTAGAATCATAGATAAAATAGTACACGTGATGCGAACAATGACGGTGACAAGAAATCACTTGAACAGAGAGAGCTGAATAAATAATTTTAAAGAAGACATAAAAAAAGGTATCCTCACTTCCACATAGCTTGTAATTATATGGAAAACCGAGAAGGTTTCGAGGAATATAAATTTTGAACGAGGTTGTCTGGGAAATATGCCGTTAGTAGTTCGAATGAACCTATACGGTCAAGATCGGCCGGATTACTTATGCCCTAGTTTATTCTCCTATCATCGTTCTACGGCAATAGTAGAACTAAAAAATCAACTTTCATGCTCGGTATAGCCTCTACTAAGGATATAATTCAATCGTTGAAACCGGCCCTCAAGGTGGGTTCTAACAGCCACTTAATTCAATTTAGGATTTTATAAAACTTAATTCGTAAAGTCCGCGATATGGTATTGCATAGTGAACTTTTTAAATTAAATTTTATCAACTCCTCAATTAACTAAATGGCTATTAGAACCCACCAATACTGCCTCACAGTCGGCAATAAGTGATTTTAAAAAAATACTTAGAGAAAGGCCGATCCACACGTATCCAGTAGCTGACGCCAGTCTCATTAGCGTTCCAGTTCTGACATCGTGAGAACACTTGCTCGTGCCAGTCCAGTGTTGGCCGCCAGCACTTGTTCGAATCGAGAGAGTGTGAAGAAACCAATCAGCATTGAAACAATGATCATCGATCAGCTTCGCTGCCAGCGTCATTCCGTTCATCTGCCAGA